GGCCGAGGCGAGTGGATTGCCTGAGCCCGTGGGTTCGAGACTAGCCCGGGCAACTTGGCAAGACCTTGTCTCTATAATAATAATAAAAAATTAGCCGGGTGTGGTAGCGCATGCCTGTAGTTCCAACTACACTACTTGGAAGGCTGAGGTGGAAGGATCGACAGAGCCCAACAGGTCAATGCTGGGGTGACCGTGAGCTTGCCACTGCACTCCAGCCTGAGCAATGGAGTGAGACACCTCCCCAAAAAACAAACAAAAAAAACTGTGGGCCACCATGCCCTGTCATCACAGTTATTTTATCCCCACTAAGTTAGTGCATACACTTCTTTCCTACAACCTCCTCCCTTTCTTTCTCTGCCCCTTTTCCTCCCTCATTCTATCCTTTCTGTATTGTAGCTAGCTCTCATTCCCTCCCTCCTCCCCCATCTCTCTGTCTCTCTGTCTCTCTCTCTCTCTCTCTCTCTCTCTCTCTCTGTCTCTCCCTCCCTTTTCACAATTTTTCCTGAAAAACTGGGGGTTGAACCAGCTCCTGCCAGACACTGTGGTAATGTCTCCTCCAATCCTCTCAGCAGCTCCCAAAGGAGGGCTCATTAATTATCTTCCCGTGACTCAGAGGGAGGAGGTGGCTTGTCCAGAGTCACACAACTGATAATTAGAGAGGCTGGACCTGTCTTCCAGGGACCAGGATTTGGGGGCTGTCCTGGGCCCCCAGGCCTTCAGTTCACCCCCACCCCATGTGGGCCAACTTCGCGGCTCCGACCCCCTACCTTGAGTGTGTCTCCCTTGTTGAAGGCCAGCTCGTCACTCTCTGTGGCCTGGAAGCTGTACAAGGCCACGGACTCCATCCCGCTGACGGGCTCCAGCGGCGGAGCTCAGAGCTGGTGGCCGCTTCCTGCTTCCTCTGCAGTCGAGGACCGTCTTCCTTTGTTTTGAGTGCGTGTTTGTTCTTTTGAGGCAGAGACTGAAACTGCCCCTGATGTGGGTGGGGGGGGGCAGGAAGCAGAGACATGTCATAGCATAGGGAGGGTGTGCGAGCCAGCTCGGGTCCTACCTCGAACCCCAGGCGCCAGGTATGGCCTTTGGGGAGTCTCCCTGCAGCCCTGGGAGTGGGGCCCCCTTGTGCCCATGTTACAGATGATAAAATTGGGGTGTCTGGAGGAGAAATGCTGCAAAGCTGTCCTGCCGGCTCAGGCATTATGTCTCGTGCCCCCAGGTGGCAGCCACCCTCACCAATTTGCCGATTGGATTGATTATCCGCTACATTTTCTAAACCCTGATGCCTCTTGTGATTCTCAAGCTCCTTACCTGGCACTCAAGGCTCTTCCAAGCTTTCACCCTCACCCAACACCACACATCCCGACTCCAGCCACGGCAGGGGTACACACCACACTTTCATTTTATCCCCTGGACTTTTTCATATGCCATCCCTCTGCCTTGTGCAATAATCCTCCTTCTGCTCCCAGAAGACTCCTATTCACCTACCAAAGCCCAGCTCAAAAGTTACCTCTTCTAGTTTAAACACTGGGCACCTTCTGTGGGACTAAGGTCAAAAAGAATTGCAAATTTGGTTAGGCACAGTGGCTGATGCCTGTAATCCCAGCACTTTGGGAGGCCAAGGCAGGAGGATTGCTTGAGCCCAGGAGTTCGATGTCAGACTGGGCAACACAGCAAGACCTAGTATCTACAAAAAGAAAAAAGAAAAAAATTGAAAATAAATCTCGACTTTTCCTTAGTGGATTTGTTAAGGGCAGTGGTACCAATGTAGCAATTCTGAAACTGTTTTGTGAGTATTGTAGGCTAGAGCATAAAGAGGTTAATACAGGCCGGGTTTGCTGGCTCAGCCTGTAATCCCAGTACTTTGGGAGGATGAGGCAAGTAGATTCCCTGAGCCCGTGACTTTGAGACCAGACTGGGCAACTTGGTGGGACCTCATCTCCACAATAAATTAAAAAATTAGCCAGGCGTGGTAGCACGCATCTGTAGTTCTGGCTACTTGGAAGGCTGAGGCAGAAGGATCGCTGAAGCCCCGTGGGTCGATGCTGGGGTGGCCATGAGCATGCCACTGCACTCCAGCCTGGGCAACAGAGTGAGACTCTAACTAAAAAAAAAAAATAGGTTAATACAAGCCATGTTATTTGGAATCAGGGTTCTCCCCAAGAAAGAAGGGAAACTCAGACATCAAAGTAACCCTGCAATGCTGGATGGGAACTGGACAGATCACTATGAAGTCAGATTTTTTCTGAAAGAAAATTTCCCTCTTCATTTATACCATGGTTTCATGTTTTAGTCAATGGGTCATAATCCATTACTACCATTATTTTGGGTTTTTTTGAGTTGGAGTCTCACTCTGTCGCCTGGACTGGAGTACAGTGGCACACTCTGAGCCACCGCAGCCTCGACCGGCTGGATTCAGGCGATCCTTCCACCTCAGCCTTCCAAGAAGCCAGAACTACAGGCATGCGCTACCATGTCCGGCTAATTTTTTTGATTTATTGTAGAGACGCGATCTCACCAAGTTGCCCGGGTGGGTCCCGCACCCACAGGCTCAGGCATTCCATTTGCCTCTCAGCCTCCCAAAGTGCTGGGATTACAGCCTGAGCCACCGAGCCCGGTTCATTACTACCATTATTTATTTTTGTGCTCAAACAATCCCCAGCATGGCCATTGAGATCAGCTTCAGGCTGGCCCTGCGTTCTTTTGGCACTTCCGTTGTTCTCTGAACGTGTCCTGACTTTCTGGCTAGCGATATGCTTAAAGCTCATTTTGAACCTTCTTTCCCAGCCCTGGCGCCAGCTGTCCCCCTAAGGCGGGGAGGGCAGGATTTAGAGTGGAAGATGGAATTGAGGAACTAAGATTGAGCAGGGCCTTAGGTGGGCTGTCACCACTCCTGCGCTTCTAGACCCTCTCAGCAGACAGAGCTGGGGAAAAGTGGTATGTGTGTGTGTGTGTGTGTGTGTGTGTGTTTTTAGAAAAATATTTCCCAGCAGACAGAGCATGTCCACGGTCCTATGTTGATTTCCATGTCTGTCTATGTGGACACAAATGGCAGATTAGAACCATGGATGCGATCAAATGTGAAATGTTGAGTGCAGGAGAAGGACATAGGGGTGGCATTGTACCACTCTTAAGAGTCCAAGGTTTTGAAACCAATCTGGGCAACTTGGCAAGATGGAATAAATCAAAAAATTAGCGCATGCCTGTAGTTCCGGCTACTTGGAAGACTGAGACAAAAGAATTATCTGAACCCAGAGAGTCAAGGTTGCAGTGAGCCATGATTGCACCACTGCACTCCAGCCTGGGCAATAGAGTGGGCTTCCAACTCAAAAAAGGGAGAAAAAGCCGGGCTCGGTGGTTCAGCCTGTAATCCCGCACCTTTGGGAGGCTGAGGTGAGTGGGTTGCCTGAGCCCGCGGGTTCGAGACCCCCCTGGGCAACTTGGCAAGACCTCATCTCTATAATAAATCAAAAATCAGCTGGGCATGGTAGCGCACGCCTGTAGTTCCAGCTACTTGGAAGACTGAGGCAGAAGGATCACCAGAGCCCAGCAGGTCGAGGCTCCGGTGGCTGGGAGTGGTCACTGCACTCCAGCCTGGGTGACAGAGTGAAACTCCAACTCAAAAAAAAAAAAAAAAAAAGGAAAAAAACAAAAAGAAGAAAGTCAAGAAGAGGGATGGGAATCTATAATTATCTCAAAAGGAAAAGCTTACTTTATTTGTTTGCTTTTTATCTATTGAGTTGAGGTCTCATCCTGTCACCCAGGCCGGAGTATAGTGGCGCGATCATGGCTCACTGCAGCCTCGACATCCTGAGTGCAACCACATCTGGCAAAATTTTTGATTTTTTCATAGAGATGTCTTGCTATATTGCCTAGGCTGGTCTCGAACTCCTGGGCTCAAGTAATCCTCCGACTTCAGCCTCCCAAAGTGTGGGATTACAGGTGTGAACCACTTTGCCCAGCCAGGGTTTATTTAAAAAAAAAAAAAGTTAATGGAAAAGATGCCGGGCTCGGTGGCTCAGCCTATAATCCCGTGCCTTTGGGAGGCTGAGGTGAGTGGATTGCCTGAACCCACGGGTTCGAGACCTGCTTGGGCAGCGAGACCTCATCTCTACAATAAATCAAAATATCAGCCAGGCGTG